ATGATGCAGCCAAGTCCCAACATTGCAGGTAAAATTAATGCTTTTTTTATAAATGACGATTAAGATATATGACTATATGCAAACGTACAATAATCTTACTTATTCATTTAGGGATTAAAGAAAAATTGAAGGCATTTAAGAAGCTTGGATATAATGTTGGCAGGTAAAGGAGGAAACATGGAGAAAATGTGATGTACCTTTAATTTTAAAGTTAATGGATTTAAGTCAAATCATTTTATTAAACTACATTGATCCAAAAGGACAAAATGGTCATATATTCTAATGTTGTTTTCCCTATTTTGAAATTTTTTTGATTTTTATGTTTTTGGATTTCAGGTGTTCATTCGCATGTTTTGTTTTGATGATTTTTTAAGATTGCTGTAGATAATTAACCTTTTCAAGGTTTTTGGTTTTGGTTTAATAGTTCTTGAAATAAAAATGGGTAAAAGATGCTTCCAGTAAAAATTAATCAAGTTGCAGTTAGATCAGTTATTTAACAAAAGTTTGTGCCTGTGTGTAAAATTTATTTTATGAAGTCTATGTATTATAGATATGGATTTATAAAACGATCAGTAACAATGTAAGTAATTACAATTATTTGCAGTAGAACAGACTTTACAATTTCTTAAAACAAACCTAAAAAATTTTAACCAACACAGATCAAAACCCCTAACCCATGCTCCGCATGGGAAACCTTTCTAGTTACAATGTTAAATTTTAATAGTAAATCATAAACCATATTTTGTTTTATTTAAACGCAAATATAGAGTAGATGTTATAGAATTATATATTTATATTATCTACCTATAATTGTATGTTATATGACAACAATTTTCTTTTCTACTTAATTGAAGTACATACTTATTTATTATTTCGATCGTATTTATTTCAAACTGCTATTTAAAAGTTTTTAATGTTCAAATATTCATATTTAACTTTTTTTAATTAACATGTGTAGTATATGAGTCTCACAACTAGTAATTATATAAATAGAGAGAACTTGTGTGAAAAAAAAATAAAGAAAGTGAGCAACTCTTGAGAAACATGAGGTCTTCTATAATTCATAAGTTGTTCATTTTCTACGTTTCAACATTCTGAATTGCTTCGATAGCTCATGCATGTATTACTCCGAAATGGGATCTTGATGTTATAAATACTATGTCTGATGATATTGTTACTCTTATCAAATCTAGAGACAATAATCTTGGGAATCATACCCTTCCATTTAATGGAAATTACCATTGGTCTTTTTGTGAAAGAATTGTTGGCGTCACACTTTTTTACTCCTTTTGGTGGGGTTCAAGGTTTCAAACCTTAAATTTGTTTAATGAAAATGTTGAACAGAACTATTGCTATATAGAAGGCATGCATGATTCATATTGTTATTGGTTTGTAAAACCTGATGGGTTTTATGCATCTGCATATCCAAATCCAAGTGGAGATAAGGTGTATTTTGTAAAACATTGGAACTAAAAAATATATGTCATGTTTTTTCTATTATAGCTTGATATAATATACAATAAAACTTTATTGACGACATCAGTATGCTTTGTACATGTTTATTTTTCGTGCCAACAAATGATCTGTACATGTTTATTTCACTAGTAACGAATATTTGAGTATTTAAAAATTTCTCAAAAGAATTTATCAAATGCGCATTCTCTAGTGTATGTCCCGTGTAATTATTAGAAAAATCAAAGAGATGAACTAAACAACTTCTCGAGACTATGATACATAGAAAAGTTAAGATAAATAACCAAGATAAAGACTATCGTTGAAAGAATTTCTTTGATAACTTTAGTGTATGTTTTTATTTGTTAATAAACTAGTTGTGGGACATATGTACTACACGGGTTGATTAAAAAAAAGTTATAGCTCAAGGTGTAAACTAAAATCATTTTTTAAAAGTGAAGTTTCGAAATAAATACAACCAAAATGATGAATAAATAAGTAATTTAATCTTTAATAATAAAAACATAGAGAATATAAAAGTCATAATTATCAATCAAAAATTTGCAAATAGTTATTTTTAAACAACATCCATTGTTTTGTTTGTAAGTCTTGTGATTTTTATTTTTAGTTAAAATGTAGAATGATTTTAAAACATTCGAATCGTTCTTTAACAAAAGATTAATGTTAAAATAATCATATTGTATGATGAAATATAAAATTTAATAGGATGAAAAAAACAAATACAATCATAAATAAAAATATCATTGTTTTATTAAAAATCAAAAAGTAAGTTAATGTATCATATACATCGGTTTTGTGTTAAAAAGTATTTGTAAAAGAAATACATGAATAACACCTGTTACACCTAATTATATAACTTATAATTGGTAAAATTAAAATAAATAAATAATTGATTTTTTTAACCAACATTTAAAGTAAATTTACATATAAACAAATTTACCCAAATGTTTGAAGTACATTGCTTTTATTTAATGTACGGTGATGCATTAATTTCTCAGAAGTGACAAATGATAAACTTAAATTATAGAAATAGTCATTGTTGCATTAAGTTTCTAGAAAATTTACACAAATAGTATTTGTTCTAAAAAAATTATACGATTAGTCCCTATTACAAGAAATAGACATTAAATCTACATAAATGTTTACCGATTAACTTCATTACCTAAATGGTATATAAAAAACCATTGTAAACTTGTTGTAAATAAGGTCTTCAATTTAGGAAGTTAAACTTTGAAAAAACATGTACACATCTTAAATATAATTAGTATTATTAGGTAGTGTTTAAATAAAATAAAAAAACACTTAATTGAGAAGTGGAGATTAAGTGATTAAAAAAACATAAAATAACAAGTGTCCAATTACATGAGAAGATGATATGTGGCAAAAATGATCTTCATTTTTAAAGTATATTAAATAGATATAAGTAAGAGTATATTTTATATATATTTTACCTATGATCTTCAACTAGAATATTGAAGCTCATCTTATTGCTTTTTACGATGCGTGTTACACTTTAGATTTTACTTTGCATTTGTACCTATACATGGAATATAAAGATATTTGCACATAAAGGGATTTGTTTGAGTTATGTCCGTGTTTAAAATTTTAATAATTAATGATAGGATGAATATCCTTAATGATCGACAAGATTCAAACATGTAAATAACGAACACAAAGATGATCAAACAAATGCTGAATGATTAAAAGTCACGCCTCAGATGAACTCGATGAAGAATTTCAACTGTAGAGGCGTGTTAGGGTTACAAGATCAGTCAAACATTTAACAAAAATAAGATGCATGCATGCACCATATATACTCAAACCCTAGAATTAAATATGGGAGGACATGCATAACCCGTTTACATAAAGGACTAAAAACAAAGCCCAATGATGCAACAATTAAATCTTCAACAATCTCCCCCTTTGCGTCAATTGAGTCTGTATCCCATCATCCAGTGATTTGCTTCTGCACTCCATAGATTTTCGGAATAAAGCTTAGCAGCATCTTACGAACTTGGATGTACCACAGTATCATATCAGAAAAGCATTTGACGTCGTCCTTGTGGTTGCCCTTGAACATAGTAATCAGGTCCAATATAAATTCCAGACAGGCAGTGTTGTATAGATGTTTGTCTTCGAGATAGAAGTAAGACTTGCGAAAGTCAGCTTCTGTTCGTTCTCTGGACTGATACACTACGAACCATCCTTCCTTGTATATCTTCCCTGGCTTTAATTTCTCGAAGTCTTTCGGAGCTTCCTTAGGAACGGCAGTCGGCTTCTTCTTCAAAACAGTGACAATATCTACATCCATCAATCCAACTTCTTGAATATAAGACTTGATCATTAGTTGGAGATGGGACATAACAGGCCCGTGCTTCTCTTTCTCTCTCAGCAACATGTTGTAAACTACGATCCAGTCATTTGGATTCAAACAAGGCAAGTCTATGAGGGTGAATTCGTAGGCTTGACAAGCTGATCCTTTCGCTACTTTAAACTTCGCATTGGGGAAGCTTTCAGTCTCAATTGGCCCAGTGACCTTCACGACAACTATCTTGTGCACGTTCCAAGTTTCGTTCTGGGGCTTCATGTGCTTCAAGTAGAATGAGAACATCAGTTGATCAGCTCCGCTGTCTGTGAAAGGAGCATTCGCAACCTTCACAAACACGCGAAACCTGATTGCTTTTGGAGTAATTGGAAGATCGGGTTGCGAATCCTGAGAATTTTGACGATCAAAAGAAGCAACAGGATCTAACCAATATTGACTGGGCAGCTCTACAACATCATGCTGGATTCGCTTCAGGGTCCACTTAGGAAATAATAACATTTTGATTTTGAGAGTGGCCTGAGCTTCCTTATCTGCCCTTTCTCTCTCCTCGGCCTCCTTGACGATTCGTTGAGTTTCATTCAATTCAGCATCACGAGCCTTCCGCCTTTTAAGTTCAGCTTCATCAGGCTCCTCGTCTTCATCATCATCAATTATGGGCTCATCTTCGATCAACTTTTCCTTGCCTTTAGGTTCTTTCTTGATAATGGGCTGGGCATGGACTTTGGGAGTTTCAACTTTAGATCCACCTTCTCCCCCTTGTTTTTGATCAGACGATTGAGGAGAAATACCCTACAGATGGTGCAACATTGCGAAGACAGGGCTCAGCTTTTCAGCCAGGTGTTTGCGAACCGTAGTAAAAATCATTGAGTCCCTGGTCTCAATGATATCAAAGAGCAAACCAGTGACATCCGTAATGCAGCTTCGCACAACTGCCCTCTCAGATAGCAAATCCTTGACCTGTTTCTCAAACTGTTGAAGCTTGATATCTAAGACCTTGACCTTCTCTGTCTTTCTTGCAAGAGCATCCATAATGTTACATTCCATTGCCAAATCATCCTGAAGCTTTGTAATTTTCGAAGTGAGGGATGTTTGAAACGATGCATGATCTTGCTGCAAGCCTGTGCGAATCTTCTCTAAGTTGACCTTCACAGTTTTAAACATGACACCCAAGTTTTGAAGGGCTTCATTTGCAGATGCAATGTTATTGTTCTAGGTTGTTATGTAACTCTGACACTACGACGTTCATCTTTGCAACATTCTCTGCATGTTCTTTCGTTATGCGCTCAAACAAGGACTCAACAGTTGCTTTTGAATAGACGTCAGAGGAGGAAGCCTTGGAGGCAAGAAGCAGTTGGTCAAGTTTCTTGTGAATTGCTTTAAGCTGCCCTTTCGAAACTGTGGCTTCATCTTCACTTTCAGTCCTGATCTGAAATGGACTGTAGGTGAATCCGCCAAGATCATCATCATCACCATCATCTCTAAAGATCCTATCTGGATCGTCATTACGAATCGAAGAGATGGGTGAAGAAACATGGCTAGTGAAGACTGAAGTTTTTGGTGATGGAGGAGGAGAAGGAACAAAGTCATTAACAGATTGGTTTACCTCTGGGTTCGTAGTCTCCTCTTCATTGCAAACTGGAGGCTCTTGGTTCGTAGTCGCTTCCTCATTACGAACATGCTCTTCCTCCTCATTACGAACGGGCTCTTCCTCCTCATTACGAATGGCCTCTTCCTCCTCATTACGAACTGGTTGATTTTGTTCAATACGAACGTCCGATTCAGTTTCAGAATCTGACCCTTCACTTGTTGATGGTGTAGGAGTTTTTCTTTTGCGAGCAGGTTGTTTTCTTCTTTTTAGAACAGAAGTAGAAGATGCTGCCAGTGCCTTTCGATTTTTAGGAGAAGGTTTTGTAGCACCTGATGGACCTTCTTTGGCAGCAGTCTTCTTTTCACCTTTCTTAGATCCATTGCCTCCTTTCTTCGGTTTATCAGCAACATGAATGACTGCTTGCATTTCTGGAGTTATAGGTTGAAACCCCGAAGGTGTAAGCTTGCGAAACCCTTCCAAAATTTTGCTTGATGCAGGAACATCCTGAAACATGACCTCTGGTATAGAACCAATGAAAGAGAATTTTGAGGCATCAACAACGATTATCCCTGTTGTATGAAAAGTGGAAACCGAGAAAGCAAGAGCATCCTTCATCGTTGGGATGTTGTGCTTGACAATGGCCCTGCAAACAATCAGGGACCAGAATCTTGCACAAGAAATCTCAGTGTGACGAGTTGTTGAGATAATGATTTGAGTCACCTGAGCCCAGAGAACGGCTCCAAAGTATATATTCATTCTTGTGTAGAGGCCATAAATAAGATGTTGGATTAGTGTCTAAGTCCATAACTATAATTGGTATGTACTTGACCCGACTCGGCATGGTCCATTTGGGTTGCATGGCATCGGAATATTTGGATAGACCGTTTGTGAGGAGAAGACATTTTATAACATATTAATATATTATAAGTTCTAATATATTAATATGAAATCATGTTATTTAATTAGTATTGATCAAGAATTAATTTGGACTTAATTTAGTGATCAAAAGGAAACTAATTAAATATATGGGGATTGATTGTGTAAATCATTCATTCTTATATATGTGGGCTTATGATCCATGATTCCTTATGTTGGGTTTAACCCATGTGGTGATCCATGGATACTCCATGGAGGTTAAAACCCATGGAGCATAAGGAATGGGTAAAGTCATGGGTTACATGGTGTAACCCTAATGTGCACACTATATAAGAACCCCTTTAGCTCAAGAAATTGACACAAGTGATACATATGTGAGGGCTAGTCAATTTGAGCTTGGAGTGTCTTCTTCTCGTGGTTATTCCAAGAGTTCATGATGTTGTGTGAACCATTTGAGGTGTCACACTTAGGGAACTAGGCTCTCAAGCTTCAAGGAATCAAGCTACATAAAAAGGTATGTCTTCTAACTTGTTTTATTACCCAAGTATCAAAGATTGTATGCTAGATAGGGTAATACCTTGGAATATTCATATTTGCATGTATAATAGAGAAAACCTAGATCCAAGGTATTTAGGGTTGCGTGTACACTTAGGAGTGTTAGAATGCTCAAAACCCATCATAAGAGTCATGAACAACTTACTTGCACAGTCTAACCCAGTAATACGTTCAGAAAACCCTTTGAACAGAATAGTGAATAAGGCATTCCATTGTGGAGGAAGATTGGGCTTGAGAAATTTCGAGACCGTGGACAGAGTCTCCTTGTACCCCATCTGATAAAACATCTCCAAGAGAGCAACATTGGAGATTGTCTCAGGGTTGATCATGTCTTCTGATTGAGGAAGCCCTAGGAGAGAACATAATCTGGACTTGGTGATAGATGTTTTTTGATCGTGGATATCGAAGATAATCTTGTTCTCCTCCTTGATGTAGCTTGCAAAAGAATACGCCTTGGATAGAAGGGACATTGTAACATCCTCCATTTTAGTTAGAGCATGAACCAGTGGCTAATATTTGAGACACTCGATCATTGACATAAGGTAAGACTCATATTTTCAAGGCTCCAGATCTATAATAAGATTCTGATTCGGTTTGACAGCCAGAAGAGAATATTCGACAGTTTGATCGTGAACTGATGATGAAGTAGCCATTGTTGAAGGTTTGAAGAAGACGATGAACAGTAGAGAGCGTTTTGTTTGCCAGATATCTTTTGAGAAGATTTTGAAAGTGATAATGAGAGATGAACCGTCAAAGCCTTTATATAGTATTCGATTTGTGAGGGAAATCCGGAGAGAGAATGCATCGAGTACTAAAACGTCGCCTGAAAAAGCACGACTTGACAACTGTAGATGTCAGACCCGTGCATCATACGACGGAAAAACAGCTGGCCCTTCAAATTCTGCACGCGCCCTTTTGAATTCTTATCATCAAAACTTGCCTCGTCATCATCCAACTTTCGCAGTTAAATATTCTTTGTCCAACTATTACAAACCTTTGCTTTTAGAAAACTTAGGTTAAACTGCGAACCTGAAATAAATCATAAAGAACCACGAACAAGTCTTTTGGAAGATCACGAGGATCTTCGTGCAAGAGTGCCAAAGATAAAGAAATAAATCAAGTATATCTGGGAAATTTTGTGATGTCTATACGAAGACATAAATCAGTTAATCCCGGGAAAAGATTTCTTCCTTCGAAGTCAAGAGAGACTAAGAAGTGTCTGTGTGGTTTCCTATTGAAATACGATCAGATGTTTCATAAGAAACACTGAAAGGCTTCTTTTATTTTGGCTCATTGGGTGGCTAACTCTCCAACCAGAAAACGAACTTGATATAAGAACGAATGTCGGATGAAGTACTCGTGTGACCAGTGTAGTCAGTTGAACGAGTAGGTTCGGAATTATTTTGGTGACAAGATAAAACTGTGAAATCTCAAACAAAATTAAAATTAGATCTTTTGGGAAGAAATGAATTGGTAATAGAACACTTCATAAGATCATGCAAAACAAATGAGATTTCTAGGTACAAGCCACGAACGTGGCTATCGTTAATTCCACGGTGAAAATCTAGAACTTGTAATTGTTCACCGTCAATTCATGTAAGTGTGTTGGATTGTGGGTTTCACTTAGTTCGTGGTGTAAGAAGCTAAGATCATGAACACAGATGTTTCGTAACCATAAACCTCAGTGGTATAGCTGAGAGTCTCAAGGGTTACATTTATGAGTGCGAAGATAAATGGAGAAGAGTAAAGGTGGTTAAAGAACCGAAAGTACCTCTGCTAAACAAATTTGACCAAGAAGATTACTCTTAACTAAATGTGAGAAGAGTAAGGTAGCTCATGACTAATGTGAATTTAGCTGCCTAATTGGGAAGAAACGAATGAGACATAAAAGAAACAAGAAATAAGACATAAAGAAACTTATTTTTATAATTTTGATTTTCTGAAAAGAAATAAAACAGAAACAAATAGATTATTTTTGGATTTCGTGTTTTTCTAAAAAAGATATAAAAACAGAAAGGGTATGTAAAAATGAATTAAAGATAAGCTAAAGTATACATAAAGTACAAAAGGATATAAGAAACCAAACCATGAATGAACAGAGAACTACGAACTACTACGAGCATTCACACAAATTCGCATCGATAAAGAAAGTTGTGAATGAAAAGTTGTCTACGAAATACTGCAAGTGTTCGCACCAATTCGCAGTTACTTCTTTATTAGTGCGAAAGTGGTTTTGGTACTGATTCAGCTTCCATCATTCTTAGCCCTTGAAGGATTATATTAAAGGTTGTCTCAGGAAGGGCCTTTGTGAATATGTCAGCCAACTGATCAGCGGATCTTACGAAATGTATCTCGACATTGCCATCTTCCACGTGATCGTTGATGAAGTGATACCTCAGTGCTATATGTTTCATCTTGGAGTGTTGCACTGGGTTGTGACAAATTCGAATTTCACTTTCAGACTCATAATAAAGAGGGATTCGTTTCATACTCAAGCCATAATCATGAAGCTGGCTTTGAATCCAAATGACCTAGGATGTGCACGAAGCTGCAACTATGTATTCTGCCTCAGCTGTTGAAAGTGATATGCATGTTTGTTTCTAGGATTGCCAACTAACTAATTTACCATCAAGAAATTGGCATCCACCAGTTGTGCTTTTTCTATCTAAGCCACATCCACCAAGATCAACATCCGAAAAAGCTTGAACGAAGAAGCCTGAGTTCGCAGGATACCATATGCCTAAAGATGATATTCGTTTTAGATAACTGAAAATATTCTTCACTGCCACCATGTGAGTTTCGCGAGGGTTTGCTTGGAACCTTGCATAATAACAAACGGAAAACATAATGTATGGTCTACTAGTTGTTAGATACATCAAGGAACCAATCATCAGACGATAAAGGGTCATATCCGCAGCTGGTTTTTCCAGAGATGGTGTGAGTTTCGTTTCGAATGCCATTGGAACCTTCACTTTAGAGTCTCATATCATGCCAAACTTAGAGAGCAAAGTTTTTGTATATACTTCCCGATTAATGAAAATACCTTCTGGTCCCTGTCTTATATTCAATCCAAGGAAAAAGTTAATAGGACCCATTGAGCTCATCTCAAACTTAGTTTGCATCAACTTTCGGAATTCAGCTGTGAGGCTGGGACTAGTAGATCCGAAGATGATGTCATCAACATAAATTTGGACAATCATCAAGTGGTCACCCTCTTTCTTACGAAAGAAGTTTGGGTCAACCGAACCTTGTTAAACTTACACATTTTAAGGAAAAGAGTAAGAGTTTCATACCAGTCTCTCAGAGCTTGCTTTAGACCATAGACTGCCTTGTCCAAAATATAACAGTGATCATGATACTTTTCATTCAAGAACCCAACTGGTTGCTCTACGTATACAGTCTCTTCTAATTCTTCATTTAGGAAAGCACATTTAATGTCCATCTGAAACACCTCGAAATTCTTATGTGCTGCATATGCCAGGAATATACGAACTGATTCCAACCTTGCAACAGGAGCGAAGGTTTCTTCGTAGTCGATACCCTCTTCCTGGCAATATCCCTTAACCACAAGTCTCACCTGGTTCCTTATAACATTGCCTTCTTTGTCCAATTTATTACGAAGCACCCATTTCAAACCAACAACTGATGCTTCAGGTGGAGTAGGAATTAACCTCCAAACTTTGTTTCGTTCGAACTCATTGAGTTCGTCTTGCATCGCTTGCACCCAATCAGAATGATCGAGAGCAGTGTTGACGGTTTTAGGTTCTATCTTGGACGTGAACAAATTGAACATACATAATTCTACTTTGGAGAATAATGCAGTTCGTTTCGCTTTTATTTGAGATGTTGTAAGAACACCTGCAGAAGATTCACCAATGACTTGGGTTTTGGGGTGATCTCTGGTCCATTTGACGAGTGAAGGATAATTTGGATCATAAGATGGGTCCAATTCGGCGTTTACTTCCTCGAACTCTGATTGAACATCCGAATTGCCA